TGTACATTCAAAATACGGTTTGATTCTATTCTCTCGATTTGATAAACATTGATATTGAATTTTATTGTGTGAACCATTTTATAAACACGAAAAAACTACGATCGATGTTTATTTTATTGAACATAAGCGCTATGCTTTTCTTTTCTCTTCTGTGAGTGAATGTTGTTCTATGAGGTCATTTTCGGCAATCGTGAAAGAGATATGCAGGAGAAGAAAGAAAAAATGGAAACAGATTGAATTGTGGCACTTGCAATGTGCGCGCACATAAGAAGCACGTAATTTGCCAATAAAATATCACTTTGATGCATTTCATGTCGGGCCGCGCCGCGCTAAACAGACAATCGACATTATAAAATTAGAAAGTAACAAGATTGAAATAGAAAAACCCATTTCCAGATCGAGAGAGAGAGAGAGAGAGAGAAAAACCGAAACAGAACAGAAACAATTGTTGGTATTGGGCGATATGCAGTATGTGCTATAACGATCTCTCTTGCGGATTGCGAGCGAGAGTTGGAGTGCAATCATTGTGGTGCGGTTACATTTCTCTCATTCTTCGCCTCTCGCCGTGTGTATTCCGTCTCGAATATAATAACTGTACTAACCCATTTAAATGAAAAATCAGTTGAACAAGTATCACATTGATTCGGTTCTATGGACGTGTACGGTTTTGCTACTTTTTCCAAACAAAACGCGCGCGTTTTGGCTCTCTCTCAGTCAGCCTCTCAACTATAAAATAGTTTTATTTATGATTATTTCGGTTTTTTGCTGGAATTATATCTCCGGGACATCCAAGTCAATTCTCTGGCTAGGCTCTCTCTCTCTCTCTCTCTTTTTCTCTTTCTCTCACTCACGCTGGCTCGGCTCATTGGCTGTGTTCTTTTCTGCTCGTGCACTATTCGTATGCTTTCGATTTGATGCCTCTCAGTGGATTTTGCGTTCAGCATTTTCAATTCCAACAAATTGCACCGCAAACGAAACGTGCACCAGTGGTGGTAGGCTGAATAGAGATAGAGAGTGCATGCCGTATAATTGCTGGCTTATTTATTTCCTTGTGGAATTGGAAAAATTGTTACGGGATCAAAAATCATCAAACGAAAAAAGAACAACAACAACAAGCAAATGAAGAAAATAAAAATGGATACAGTTTGCAACAATAAATATTAGCAAGTTCACGAGAGCGAGCGTGTGCGCGCGCATTCACCGCAACTAGAGAGGCGATTGCAACATGTGGGAAATGGGTTCTAGTGCATATGTTCATCTTTGCATTTTGAATTTCGTTTGTTCGACTGTTTTTCTTTTGTTTTCGCTTCGATTTTTGCATGTGGTTTGGTTTTTTTCTTCTCATTCCAGATTTCAAGTGATTATTTTTGTGTGCGCGCGCTGGGCTGGTGAAAAAATTCCACGCAACCTACACACATTCGATGCAAATGTGATTCAAAATGATCATTCGCCCATAGATACACAAGCAATTATAATCACCCGAAATGCATATAATTTTCGTTGTTTTCGTCGGAAAAAGAAAACAATTTCTTGTTGCATTTCATCCACCGTTAATAGGCCACGATTTATCTGTCTATTTTGGGTTTGGCCGCATTCATAAGCTGGAGCGAGCGCGCGCATTTGCGCACACACAATGCATGCCACAACAAATGCTGTACATGTGTTGAATAGTCACAACCTACTTATGGATTTATATAAGGCATTTCGATTGTGTATACATAAAGAATATCCGTCTTGATATAAATCAAGTATAAAAATGATGGTATTTCTGTTGTTGTTGTTGTTGTTGCTCCTCTCGCTCTTGAAAATTCACTTCTTTTTTGTCTGAATCGACACGTTATCAGATATCTTTTTTGGGTCGCTGCGAGGGGCATCAACAGATTAAGTGATAAACTTTGTTCGAAACTTGAAAATTATTTTGAAAATTGCTTAATTTTTTTTTTCTTCTGCTTTTTCATCTGTGGAATTCAAAACCAACTCGAGCATCGGGCGATGACGTGAGCTACACAAAGTAATGCGACCAATCAAAGAACTCCAACCATTTCTACGCTTGTGTCGCTCATAAAATGTCATGCCTTAATTGAATTCTTGTTTGCAGACTTTTATCGGACCAACAACACATCATAAACTAACAAGAGCTGCGGCGGTGGCAACAACGAACAGAAATCCGTTCGCGCATTAAGAAAAAATAAAATGGAATTGCATTAATGCCGAATTTTCGTTTCGTCGAGGGGAGTTTTTATCTGAATAATGTCGCCTGCTTCGTTTTTTTTTTCATTAATAAAATTAAACAAAGTAAATCGCATCATCGGAGTGTGTTTCAAATGTGCCACTCCCTCGGCAAGCATCGTAAAATTGGTGGAGAAAAAAAAAACGCAAATGAATGCAGAATGAACGAAAAAAAAATGCTCACACTCTCGACTAAAATTGAAATTGAAAATTATATTGAGATAATGCGAATCCATAAAATGAAATGGATTTTTATATATTTTGATTTTTTTCTCTCTCGCATTTAGTTGTTTATGTGAACGCATGGATAACAGCGTACAAAACATGGTCAATATTGTTCAATAAAGGATGCCTCATATCACAAGTGTGATGATGCCAATGTGCATTACCATTGCGACGCATCGCCAAATCCACGCACACCACACATATCATTAGTTTTGCACAACAAGCACGCAGTGGAGAAGAGCCAATGAGGCATTCAGTTGGAGTGCGAGACTGAAAGTGCGGATTGGGACAAGGGAATGATCATTTGGAACGCCGACGATATTTTAAAAGCGTCGATTATGAATTGAACATTAATAGACACGTCCATATCGAATATCGCATGTTTGTTGCTTTTATGACACACTCGAACAGGTTTTGGTTTTTTTTTTCTCGGTTGCGCACAAACGAACGAACGGACAAACCGAGCAAAATTATATTCTGCATACTTTATAAGCTACAATGTCTATCGTTTATTCAATCTAATTGTGTACACACTAACAAAATTGAAATCGCATCGATTGTAATTGCGATGCGCGCGCGAGCGCACCCAGCCGATTCGATGGAAGGATTTCATCCATGGACACACGAAAAAAACAACAACCAACAAGAGAAAAAATAGTGAATAGGATTGCCAAGTGAAGAAAAAAACAAATCGAAGGAGTGAAATGTGTGTGTGTGTGTGTATGTGCAATTTAATATGCTCATTCGTTCCATCACGACGACACACCTGATACGGACAAACGGATATTTTTAGAACGATACTGGACAACAACGAAGACCAACAGATACAAAAAAAAAAAACATCACAGAGATCGGACAGGCACGCATGCCCACATTTTATCCGTATTATGTTACAAAGCAACAAGATTATAAATTCTTTTTGTATGCAAAGCACTCGCAAATGTTTTGATGTGTTTACCAGCACGAATTATCGATGTTGTGCTCGACCAAAATCGAAGCACTACGAATAAAAATATCAAATTGTTTTGGTCGCTCGTTCTTTTCTTTTCCGTCGTTGTCGACGAAGAGATCGTTGTTGTGAAGCTTGGAGTCTGGAGAGAAAAAAAAACACAACACAAACAGAAAGGTGACAAGAAAGAAAGAAAAAAAAAATTGTGGAAAAAACACACAAGCGGACGCAAGTGGTGTTCCAAAGCCCGAAACCTGAACAAACTGAATCATGTTCCAAAAGAATGGAAATGAAAAGAATCCGCAATAACAGTCGAAAGATATACACCAACCGGACACCTGAAACGTTATTAATTTACAAATTTATCGCTTTTTGAGCCAAAGTGCCAAAGTAGATATTAAATCGTTAACATTTTATTAATAGAGTTGTGTTGTCACATGAAGAAATGTGTGTATTTGTTGTGTGTGTGTGTGTGTGTGTGTGTGTGTTTCCCTCTGTTTCGTTTAAATGCGCGATCACAGAACCATCATGTTCGAAAAGACCAATTCAACACACCATTTAGACCCGTGTGTGTGCGAGTGTATGATCACGGATTGAATTACTACCAGTTTTCCCAATGGCACGTCACACATTGACTCTCTCAAACACAAATTAGATTACTATCAATGTGTCT